TCTCTCTCATTCTCTCTCTCAAATAAATAAATAAAATCTTTAAAAAATAATAATAATAATATCTTAAAAAATAAATAAAAACTAGAAGAGGAGAAAAATATCAGAGTGCACCCTCTGTAGTAAGGCTAACTCTTGTTTCATGACACTTATTGTTCTTGGGGGGGTGTGTGTGCTGTATTGTGAAATATACATCTTGGAGCACCTGGGTGGCTCAGCCAGTTAAGCATCTAACTCTTCTTTTATTTTACTTTATTTTATTTATTTATTTGACAGAGAGAAAGCACAAGAAGGGGGAGCAGGCTCCCTGCTGAGCTGGGAGCCTGATGTGGGACTCAGTTCCAGGACCCTGGGATCATGACCCGAGCTGAAGATGCTTCACTGACGGAGCCACCCAGGCGTCCTGCATCTGACTCTTGCTTTCAGCTCAGGTCATGATCTCAGGGTTGTGGGATCAAGCCCTGCATCGGGCTCCCCACTCAGCGGGGAGTCTGCTAGAGATTCTCTCTCCCCCTCTCCCTTTCCACCTCCCCTGCTCGTGCTTGCTCTCACTCTCTCTAAAATGAATAAGTAAATCTTAAAAAACTAAAATAAAATATACATCTTACTGTGGGTCACAGTCGGGAAAAATTTGAGTGACAGTTATAAACAGAGACCTAGAGCCCACTGATGACCCAGATGCCACAAAAAGAAACCTAGGCTTCAGATCAGATCCCAGGTGTATAGACAGTGACCGTGATCTTCTACACAGAGACCCAATCCCCAGAGAGGCCAAGAGCCCCTGATTGGAGGCCTAGGGGCAGGCCTGTGCATCACAGCTGGATTGGAGGTCCATATCCCACGTCAAGACTGCCACTTAGTTTACAGTTTGTGCAAGGCACAAAGGAGTCACCCATGGAGCTAGTAAAGGGTGCCGTCAGCTCAAACTCCCTAACCAACGTGGAGAAACACATAGGGCCACCTCCTGCTGAAGGAAACAGCACGTTTGTGCACAAAGGCACTACTTGCAAAGAGATGCACCCTAAAGGCTGGGTCTGCATAGAGGGTGCTTATCCTAAAACACACAAAAGCCCAAATCAGCCAGAGATTGATTTAGATAGAGCACCAGATCCCACAGACAGAGGCCTAGGCTCTATAGAGAGTGTCTCAGAATTTAAAAACCTGATAGAGCTGCTTAAATCCTAGAGAAAGGGCTCCAGATTCCAAAGAGAAGGGCTCAGTTATGGGGACTGGGTCTGGGGGTGCTAGTTTCTAAACAGGAGTATCTGAGTCCTGCAGGAAAAGACTCACATCCATAAGTGGGACCCAGATTCTACAAAAAGGGATTTAAGCCTTCTAAAATGAAATCTGAACTCCTAGACCAAATCAGCAATTTCCCATCCATATGTAAATGGGCAGCCCCTCTGCCAGCTGTGGCCCTAAAGAGAGAAGCCTCCCTTTGCATAGCAGGGAGTTTGGGGGGCGGCGGAGGAGGTTGGGATTGGGGCACCTGGAGTAGGTAGGTTAGAATCATTTGGGTGACACAAATCTCCCTGGGGGTGAGGAGTCTGGGGGAAGAGAAAGCTGTTTGCAAAGTCCCCCATTCCCACCCCAAGGGGCCTAATTTATCTTCTGGCTCCTGAGAAGGGAGAGAAGATCTCCTGGGGTGGAGGGGAGCTGAGGGAGGACAGAGTCTGCTCTAGCCCAGCAGCAGCTAGGCAGGAGGCCCATGCTGAATGGCACCATCCCCCCACCCCCCACCGCAGCACCTGAGGACCCCTGTCCTGCCAAGGATCAGCAGATGGAGGGTGCCTGCATGTCCTCGCTCCTGAAGTAAAGGAGAGAAGAGCATCACACTAGTCTCCCCGGGCACAGGTCATTAGTGTGGATTGTCAGAACCTGACCTGAGACCTGGTCACTCTTAGTCTGAACCTCTCCAAGAGAGAAGATGAGAGCTGGGCACCCCCTAGGTCTGGATCCGAGACCCTTTCCCTCAATTTCTACTTCCTGGGCAAAGAAGGAACCAGAGGAGAACAGGGAACTGTGGTGTTGGGGTGCATGTGGGTCTGTGTGTGAGTCCCTCCGTGTGCATGGTCCAGGTTGTGCTCCCATGTCTCTGTGTCTGCAGATCTCTGGTTGTCTCAGCGCCACTCCCTGTATGTGTTGGCCAGAGGCACCTGTGTGTGTAAATGGCTGTGTCCAGTGCTGTGTCTCTCTGTTCCCTGCGTCTGCTTTCATGAATGTGTGTGTGCCAGGTCTGTGCTTGGGCGTCACTGTGGGGACAATGTCGGTGAGAGCTGGAGCCCAAGATCTACCTTCTGGTCAGTGCGTCCAGCAGCGACCAAGCTGGGGGACCCCGCTGGCTGCACTGGACGGGCCCTGCTTGAGCGTGAGTGAGAGATCCTCTGTAGGTGCTCTAGCTGACTCTCCTTGGGCCCTTCCAGCACACCCAGTATGGACATTCTCAGGGCGAGCTCCTGTCCCTCGCCTCCAAGAAAAACAAGCCTCATGCTCCGCTGGGGGCTCCGGGTCAGGAGCGGTCAGGTCCTTGGTGCGCACTGAGGCTTCTCCACCCTGCAGCCCCCTTATTCACAAGGGAAGAGCACCATCGAGGGAGCGGAGGGCAGACTGCTCAGAAGGAAGGCAGGGTTGTCTAGTTCTACTATGAAGCGATCCTGGACCCCCACCTTTTCAAATCCCCCTCACCCCATCCCAGGGACGGATGTGCTCACAGGAGGTCGAGACCCCGGTCTGGGCCTCCCTAATCCTTCTCCAGGGAACTCGAGACTGGGCGGCAGAAGGCCCGGGACCCGCGGAAGCAAAAAGTAAACCTAGCAGGGAAAGAGGAGGCGCGCGCCGGTCGTTCCCGAAGGAACAGCTCGGTCCCCACCTCCCGAGCGCCGCGCGCTCCGGGCCGAGCGGGGCGGGGCCAGGCGGGAGCGCGCCCGGGGCGGGGCTTCGGGGGCGCGCCCGGAGGGCGGAGGGAAGGCCTGGGGGCGTGGCCTAAGGCCTGGGGGCCGGCGGCGGCGGCGGTGGCGGTGGCGGTGGCGGCGGTGGCGGTGGCGGCGGCGGCGGCGGCGGCGGCGGCGGCGGCAGGGAGCTGGGAGGCGAGAAGCCGGGCGCGCGGGGCTCAGTCGGGGGGCGGCGGCGGCGGCGGCTCCGGGGATGGCCGCGGCTCCGCTGCTGCTGCTGCTGCTGCTCGTGCCCGTGCCGCTGCTGCCGCTGCTTGCCCAGGGGCCCGGGGGGGCGCTGGGAAACCGGCATGCGGTGTACTGGAACAGCTCCAACCAGCAGTGAGTCGGGGGCCCAGGGAGCCCAGTGCGTACCGCGTCTGCGAGAGGGGGAGCCGGTGGGCCCGGGAAGTCTCGGGGGCCCCGGGGTGGGGGTCCTGGGAGGCACGACTGGGGGCTGGGAACGAGGGAGAGGGGGGACACACTCTGTGGGCGTCTGTGAAACTTGCGGGGGGGCGTCTGAAAGAGGCTGCTGAGGTCTAGGGACGAGGTCTTGGGCCGTGCGGAGGAGGCTGCTCGGGGACACAGCACCCCACCTTTCTTCTCTCCGCACCCGCCGCTGGAATAGCGTGCCCCCATCGCACAGCCCCCCATCTTCGCCCCCTTCAGCCGTGCTGGGCCGTCGCGCCGGGGGGGCCCAGGGATGACCTGTTTTCAGCGGTGAGGCTTTCGAGGGGTTCTGTCTAGGACTCCTGCTTTCAAAAGTGGGGTCAAGAGCTGAGGCAGGGAGTCCGGCCCAGCACCTCCTCAGAACGAAGCCGAATGGGTTTCCCTGGTTGTGGGGAAAAGCCAGGCGGGGGTGAGCTGGGCTGGGTCGCCGAGGCGGGGGTCCTGGAGGTGCTGCTTGGTGGGGATGGAAACGTGGGGTACCGGTGAAAGAGAGAGAGGCCCGCAGATGTCGGCGTGTCACACACACACACACACACGCCCGGCCTGGGGACGGCGTGTGGCTCCAAGTGTGAGCAGGCGTGCGCGGCTGTCAGTGTGCGTGTGTGTCTGAGTGTGTGATTTGTGTGTCTGCGTCGGCGATCGTCTGGGGGTGGGAGCGGGCGGCGGGGCGGGGAGGGGGCTGCGGTCGCCGTCCGCGTGGCCGGCCGCGTCTGGGCTGGGGTGGCTGTCGGCGCCGCCGCGGTCTGGGCGGGTGTCGGGGCGGCCGTGTGGTTTCCCGGGGTGTGTGGCGCGGCGGCTGGGTGCCGGCTGCGGGGCCGGGCCCTCAATCTGCTCAGTCCTCCCTGCCCTTGTCTTCTTCGCCCCGCCGTGCCTCCGTGTGTGTCTGTGTGTTGGGGGCATCCCTAGGGACGCGGGGGTCACTGTCACATCTGCCGCGGCGGCGGCGGCACCACCTCGGGCTCCCCACCCCGGGGGGCGACTCGGGAGCCACTGGCGAGGCCCCAGAGGAGGGGACCGAGAGGGCCGGCGGCCGCGACCCCCAACCTCCCGGGGGAGGGGCTGCCGCTCGCCGCTCCGCTCTTTGTTGTTTGGGGCTCCGCGCCTCCCCCTCTCTCCCTGCTCGCGCCCAGAGTGTCAGACTGGGGGTGGGGATGAGCCAACGACACCCCCCTCTCGCTTCCCATGGAAACCTCGGGGGTGGGGATGAGGCCCCTCCCCGCCGGAGCGGGACTCGAAGAACTCCGGGGGGTGCTGGGGGCTGACTCCCCGTTCTCTCTAGCTCGTCCCCCTCCCCCAGACTCACACGTCCGCCTCCCCCCGCCCCACTAGAGTCTGGCGGGGAGTGGAGAATACGCAGGTGAGGGGCCCCGGGTTCCCACCACCCTTGGGGCACCCTCGCGTTCTTAGGGTAAGCGGGAGCCAGGGGTATGCGGGAACGGCCGGGTGTGGGGGGGAATGTTGTTGATCAGGTTCCCCTCCCCCGCATACACCTGGGCTCAGGTGAAAGCCCTGGGAGGGGGTGGCGGAGCCCGGTTCCGGGAGCCTCCTTTCAGCCTTCCCCGCTCCCCCGCAGGTCTGGACCGGCAGAGGTGGGGGGGGCGCGCACCCGGCTGGGAGGACGCCGCCGCCCCCGCCTCGCTTCCTCGGCCTTTGTTGCCGCTGCGCCCGGGCTCCCCGGCTCCCTCACTGCGGCAGCCGCGGCCCCATAAATCGTGAGAGCGACGTGCTCCGGAGCCGGGAGTGGAGAGGGCCAGGGAGCTGGGGGCGGGGCCGCGCCGAGCCACGGGCTCCCGCGCCCCCTCCCCCCCCGGTCACGTGAGCTGGGCGCCCGGCTCCCACCCCTTGTCACGTGCTGAGGGTCTCGGCCCCTTGGGGTCACGTGGAGAGGGTCTTGCGACCCCGCCTCCTGGGGTCACGTGGGAGGGTGCTGTGGGACACGTGCAGAAGCCTCCTTTGACAGACCGGGGGGCAGTGCCTTGCACAGCGGTCGTGATCTCGCCCCCCGTCCCCCCACTCAGGTCCTCGGTTTGATCCGCTGTAATTGGAGAGACCAGTTCCCAACCTGGCCCAGAAACTAGGGATGGAGGGTACTACACTGGAGGGAAGAAGGAGAATGTGAGGTCGAGGGGTCCCCTGAGCCCGGAACTGAATTTGGGGTGGGGGTGGGAGGACCGGCTGACGGCCAGGTTCCTTGCTTTACAGGACGGAGCGAGGCGTTGTTATTCGCCCCTAACTCAAGCGGCCTGGGGAACATCTTTCTCTAGCCGTCCCCCTACCTCTCTCTCTCTCTCTGAGATGTTTCTGCTGCTGGTCTCTCTTTCATTCACACGTTCATTCAACAAATATTTATTGAGGCTGTACTACGTCCCTGTTGGTCTTTGCCTCTGCTCGTATTCTCCCTGCCCCCGAGCCTCTGCCCCGCACCCCCTCGCCCGCCACTGAGAGCCGTCCCAGTCTCTGCTGTCTGGGGGCCTCCCCGATCGGCCCCCAAGTCTCTTCCTTTCTCCACGCCTCCCCCCGTTCCCATCCTGGTCCTCTTTCTGATTCTGGGACCCTCTCTTCCGCTGTGTCTCGCCCTGTCCCCTCTCGGGGACCCGGGTCTGTTCGTCTCCCCTCTCGCTGCGCGCGTCTCCTCTCACTCCGTTTGTGTGTCTCGCTTTCGGCGGGTCTCTCGCTCTTCGCCGCCGCTGCAGATCAATAAACCTTCGCCGCCGCCCGCCGCTGTCGCAGGGAGCGGGGCGGGGATGTGGGGCGCGCTGCCGCTCCCCCACCCGACGCCGGCCGGAGAAGCCGGGGCCCCGGGCCAGGGATGGCGAGACCCGGCGGGGCGGGGCTCTGAGAGCTCCCCGAGGGGTGCGGGGGTGTCAGCGTGCACGCGCCGCCCCGCGAACGTTCCCGCCACCCACCCACCCCCAGCCGGGCGCGCGGACCCCACGCCGCGCGCACGTGGTCCAGCCTCGCCTGCTGGAGCGAGCGGCGCGCCGCCTCGGGGCCGCGCGCTAGAGGGGAGGAGAGCCCGGGTCGGTGTCTTGCCATCCCTCCTCCACTTCTTTAGCTCCGCGTCCCGGCTTCTAGGGGTGGGGGCAGGGATTAAACAAGTTCAGCGCCCCTTGGGATGCCTTCCCTACTCCCTGGTCTTCTTAGACACCCTGTTTACCTGCCCCTAATTGCCCCGCGGGGAGAGGTTTGCTCCTTCCCTGCTCCCCCGCCGCCTACCCCACCAGGCTCGAGCAGGCGGAGCACTGAAGGAGTGACACAGAAGGGTCGGAATGCGCCCCGGAGGCGGTGAGAGCCCGGAGAGACGAAATAACGGGGTGAGGGGCACCCCTCCGGGTGGGGTGTGTCAACACTTGCCTTTCTGCGAGAGAGGTGGAGGCCAGTACGGGATGAAGAGAGGAAGAATAGAGACCTGTTTGAAGGGGCAGGCACACCCCAGGCCCCCGGGTCCCCCCTACCCCCCCAGGGATGGGGAGCTGGGGCCCTAGAGGAGGAGTTAGCTGCGGAGCTTTGCTGGGCCTAGTGGCACCTTCCTCTCCTCTGCCAGGGCGGGGAGGATGACAGATTCAATTACAGCACCCAAGCCAAGCAGACACCTCACTCAGGTCTCCTGGGACTTGTGACTGGGGACTCTGACACCCAGCCCCCTGTCCACCAGATACCAGCTGCCTACAGCCATTCCACAAGCCGCTCTTCCTCCCACATGCCCAGCTTGGGGGGCATTTCAGGGGCTCTTCCCGCCACCCAGCCCAGGGAGAGGTAAAAGATGGCTTCTCTTCCAGGTGCTCACCCAGCCGCCTTTCTGTAAGGCTAGGCCCTGCCCTGTTGAGGAAACTGTCACCTGTCCCAATAGCTCTGGCCGTGGCTTACTCCTTGCTGGAATGGGCTGTGTTGTAGGGGAATCTGGGCAGTGCCACAGGAAGGGGCCACTTTAGAGCAGGTCTGGAAACCTAGGTGAGGCTCAGGGACGGAGGCCCAGGGTGGCTGTGCCGTGGCTTTAGGCCCAGCCCCCTAGCACTTGTGGCCCCCTCCTCAAAGCCTGTGGGGAAGGAACAGTAGACTTGGAAGTTGGGGATCTAGAGGCAAACCCAGGTGGCGCCAGGAGCCAGGCCTGGTCTAACCCGTTTTCCTGCTCCCAGTGCCCCAGGCCGAGACTCCTGCCCACCTGAGTGCCAGGGCCAGGGAGGGGCCTAAGTGACCCATCACTCCCGTGGGAACCAAGTGGGACTGGTGGCATTCCTGATGACTCAAGAAGGCTGTGCCCATTCCCACTGAGGTGCCCAGGCACCAGCTCTCACCTCTGCCTACTGCTGGGCTTGGAAGGGAGTGCTTGGGGAGGGGGCGGTGCAGGCCAGGCCAGGCAAGTAGGGTAAGGTGGGGAGGGACCCTCAAGGCTCCACCCAATTCAGAGGCCTCCAAGCATGTTTCCCTAATGGATCTAATTACTATTTGTGGCACTGGGAGGTGCTTGGTGACATGGGGAGCCAGTCCCTCCCTTCAGGGAGTTCCCAGGGACTAGGGACCCCAGTGGCTTGACATGCTGCTGAGTACCCGAGGCCTTCTGTGTCCACCATGTTCTCTAGGGAGAGGACATGTACATCCCTACCCTAAAGAAATTGGGGGAAACTCCTTCCTACTCCTCTGAGTTTCTTCCTCCATTCAAATGTTTTTCCCATCCCCGCACCACTCCACACTACCATCGAGGGCATTAAGACCAACACTTTGATGATGACTGGCAAGGCAGGTGGGGATTACAAGGGACCCAGCACCTGCTTCTGTGTGCCATACAAGGATCGAGGAAGTACGAGGCACAGCCATCTTGTCTGGGCACTATGCCCACTACTCTGCCTACCACCATTAAGGGGGCAGTGGTGCCAGGTTGAGGAGCAGGATGTATAGGGATGGAAGTTTTGGCTGGTTGGCATGATACCACGTGGAGCTTTGGTGTTGAGCCCCTTAGCTTCCCGATTTTGTTGTCTCACGTTATCGGGGACCTTAATTGCAAGTAATAGTGCAGAGAGGGCATGTGCCGGTGTGTGTGTGTGTGTGTGTGTGTGTATGTCTGGGGGGGCGGGTCACGGGGGTGGAGGGGGCAGGGAGAGAGCTTGAGATGGCTGGGGTCAACCCATCCTGGCATGCCGCCTGAGTGGACGGTGGACATGTTTGTGTGTGCGCCACGGAACTTGTGCGTGCATATGCATGAAACCTCCAGACGTGCGTCTGTGAGCTCAGGTCCTGGCAAACTGGCCTTGGGAGTGGACTGGCAGTGGCAGGAAAGCATGCCGGGAGAGGGGATGCAGGGTGCGCATCTCTGGGAAGGGCTCCCTCCTACTCTCCCCCTTCCCTTCCATCCTCTACCACACCTCCTCGGTGGGGAATTGTGGGGGATGGACGGAGGAAATCCGGGCCTGGGTCTGGGAGTCGCTGGGGCCTGCGCCGTTTCTGTGGTAACCAGAGCGTACGTTCCCTTCTCCCCCGCCTCTTCGCCTTTGGAGGCAGGCCGGGCTTCCCTGCGCCTTCGCTGCCCTCTGGCGGCCGCCGGGAGGAGGACAGCACAAGGCGTGGGCGTGGAGGGCTAGCGTGGGACTGGTGGCACTAGGGCCCTGGGGACGGGGACAGGGACCGAGAAGAGAGGCGGCTCCGAAGACCCTCGGGAAGGTCTGCGGAGCGGCGACGTGGGAAGAGGGCTGGCGTGGGGTTTCTTCTCTCTGACCCGCTTCCTCTCCCCCGCAGCCTGCGGCGAGAGGGCTACACGGTGCAGGTGAATGTGAACGATTATCTGGATATTTACTGCCCCCACTACAACAGCTCGGGGGTGGGCCCCGGGGCGGGGCCGGGCCCCGGGGGCGGGGCGGAGCAGTACGTGCTGTACATGGTGAGCCGCGCCGGCTACCGCACCTGCAACGCCAGTCAAGGCTTCAAGCGCTGGGAGTGCAACCGCCCGCACGCCCCCCACAGCCCCATCAAGTTCTCGGAGAAGTTCCAGCGCTACAGCGCCTTCTCGCTGGGCTACGAGTTCCACGCCGGCCACGAGTACTACTACATCTGTGAGTGACGGCCGGGGGCGGGGCCGGGCGGCGTGAGTGACAGGGGCGGGGCCTAGAGAGCGTACCTGGGAGGCGGCCAGGGGGTGGGGTCCTGGGGGCGGAGCTAGGGAACGCACCTGAGAGACGGCCAGGGGGTGGGGTGTCGGGGCGGGGCTGGGCGGGGCCGGAAAAAGTGAGCGAGAGCCCGGGCGTGAGGTCCGCAGGGACGGGGATGGGGGCTGCGAGTAGGCCTAAAGGCGACTGTGTCAGAGTGAAGCCAGGGAATGGGGTCCTTAGGGCCAGGGATGGAGGTTTGGGGGGTGGGCCTAAAAGCGAGTGTCAGAGCGCCGGCCAGGGTGTGAGGTCCGCCGGGGCTGGGGCGGGCCCACGTGGCGGCCACGTGGTCCGCGTCGCCGAGCACGACCGCCCGGGATGGCACGTGGGGCCTGGCGGCCTTAGGGCTTCGACTCAGACAGCGTCTGGGGCTGAGAGAGGTTTAGGGACAGTCCGAAGTGCGGCTCGTAGGCTCACCGGTCCCGCGAGGGACGTTCCGGGACTGAGCCCTCAGGGCTCGGGGTTTCTTGAGGGCTGAGACCAAAGGGGCTTCTCGGGCTGACGGCGGAGCCGCGGTGACCCGTGTCCGAGGGCCGGGGAGCCGTGAAGCCGCGTCCCCCGGGCAGGGGGCGGCGCGGAGGGGCGTGACGCGCGAGAACGCAGCTCAGGCCCCGTCTCGTCCCCCAGCCACGCCCACCCACAGCCCGCACTGGAAGTGTCTGAGGATGAAGGTGTTCGTCTGCTGCGCCCCCAGTGAGTGCCGTCGGCGCCCAGCCGCGACCGCGTCCTCGGCTCCCCGCTTCGGGGCTCCCCTGGCTCCCGGGGGCGGGGTGGGGCGCCCAGGAGCGGGGACCTGCTCCCCAGCTGTAGCGGTGGGGGGGATCCTGGCCCTGACTCTCCCCTCCTCTCTCCCACCCGCACCCCGCCCCGCAGCATCGCATTCCGGGGAGAAGCCGGCCCCCACCCTCCCCCAGTTCACCATGGGCCCCCATGTGAAGATCAACGTGCTGGGTGAGTCTGCGCAGCGCCCTCTGGTGGCCACTGCTGGAACCGCAGCCCCCTCCCCGGTGCCTGCTCACCTCGCATGCCTTCCCAGGGGCACGGACCCCTCCTCCCCGCCCCCACCCCGCCCCCGTGGGTGCTCACGTCCCCGCTGCACTGCTGCTGTCGCTGCCGCGTGCCCCGCCCGCGCGCGCGGCCCCGCCCTCACCAGGCTGTCTGTTCGTCTGCCCACAGAGGACTTTGAGAGAGAGGATCCCCAGGTGCCCAAGCTTGAGAAGAGCATCAGCGGGACCAGCCCCAAGCGGGAACGCCTGCCCCTGGCGGTGGGCATCGCCTTCTTCCTCGTGACACTCTTGGCCTCCTAGCTCTACCCCTCCCTTGGCGGGGAGACATGGGGCCGGGAAAGGGCAGGGAGACTTTGGTCTCTCCAAGAGAAGCCTAGCTGTGGGGCCTAGAGCCCTGCTCCGGTGGCTGGAAGCGGGGTCTGCGCCCCTCCCCTTTGCCCCCTCTCTCCCTCGTGGGGCGCTGTAGTGGGCCAGACACAGGGACAGCCACGGGTCCCAGGTGGCCTGTGGCTCTGGTACCTTTCTCTGACCCCGGTACCCTCCCCTGTTGTCACCACTGGAGACAGATATGCCCCAGAGAGAGCAGATCCAAGCGTGGGAGGCACCCCCTCGTTCACTTCTAGGGGTGGAACACAGGGAGAGGACTCGGTGGGCGAGGGGGTGGCCCACGGCCCCCCTCCCCTGTTTACAGCAATAAGCACGGCCTCCTCCTCCCACTCCCGCTCCCAGGACTGTGGTTTGGATCGAATCCAAGTTTACAAGTAGACACCCCTGGGGGGGCGGGCGGTGGACAAGGGTGACAAGGGGTGGGCACTGGGTTGCCAGCAGGCATGTACAGACTCTATATCACTATATATAATGTACAGACGGACAGACTTCCTCCTCCTCCTTAACTCCCCGACCTTCCTTGACGTCCCCTTCCAGCTTCAGACCCCTTCCCCCCCAGGTTAGGCCCCCCCCCCACTGGGGGACCCCCTGGCCCCTCTCGTGTCTTCTGTGAAGACAAGACCTATGCAACGCACAGACACTTTTGGAGACCGTGAGACAACAATGCCCCCCCTCCTCCAGCCCTGAGCCGGGACCCAAATCCCATGACCTTGCCCTGCCTACCCTTGGTGGCCCCACCCATCCTCCCGGGCCTTTTTCAAGTGCTTTGGCTGTGACTTTCATACTCTGCTCTTAGTCTAAAAAAATAAACTGGAGATAAAAATAACTAAGTGTGTGTGATTTCAGGGGCCATAGCCCTTCTGGACGCTGGTTAAAACCCACATGTCACAGGGGCGGGGGGCCGACTCTGGGGCCAAAGGGTCAACTGAGCACCTTCTGTGGCTCAGTCTCCCTTGAGGAGGCAGCTCTGTGTGGCGAGAGCCACAGGGCCTCGGAGCTGGGCCTGGCTGTCTTTGGGCAAATCATTCACCCTCTGCGAGGCTCACGTTTCTCCTCAGAAGCTTGAGTCGGGCTACCCATCTCTCAGGGCCGGGTAAGGATGGAATGGTAGAGGAAGCATCCAGCGCAGGACGGTTTCTCCTTCCTTCCTGTTCCACTCTGCGGTCGGGGTCTTGATTGGGGTCTGTGGGTTGCAGGGGGGTTGTGAACCTAGATAGGGAAAAAAAATCACATCTTTGTTCTCACTCACCTGTAACTGAAATTAAACATTCTCTTATGTACTTGGGCAACAAGCCAAAATAGTTTGCAGAGGGCCTGGGTCTTTGTAACCAACAGAAATCACAGATGCTTTCAGGCTGCATTATAATTTTTGAAGATCTCTCAAAACACCATTTGTTCTCATCACTACTTTGAAAGGACTGGAGTTGTTAGACTGTTCTTGTTTTTAATGTGTTAATAAAGAAGCATATATATTACTATACCAAAAAAATGTAAATGTTTTGATAACTGTGTTTCCATATAATTGGTTTCCTTTATAATCCTTTGTGATTTTATTCATTTAAACCATTATGGCCCAAGGGCTGAGAGTGTGCTGGCGCTGGGGTCCCACATAACTCCAGCACCTGGCGTCTGTGGGGAGAGAAGAGGCAGAATGCTCCAGACAGAGCCGGGGGGGGGGGGGGGGGGGGAAGGGCCACGTGGCCCCAACAGGCTGGGTGAGGTCAGGCTTGTACCCATGGTGCTGTGGGGGAGGGGAGGTGATGACAGGAGCCAAAACCTGCCAGGGAGGGGGTCCTTACTGCCAAGCTGTGCAGCCTTGGGACTCCATCCCACCCCGGTTCTCTAACTGTGTGGGCAGACTGGGTCCTGGCTGAGGGCCCCTCCTCGCCCCTGTGGCTCCTGCCAGCCGCATCCTGAGAATGAGCCCCTCCCCGGCGGTAGGGACTGGGTCTTCTTCCCGCTCTGTACTCATAAAATAGGGGAAATGGAATTTCCGCCAGACCGTGGCAGACAGGGAGACGTGGGGTGGGAGGCAGTGGGGAAAGAGCCAGGGCAGCCGGGGTACCAGTCTGAGGCTCCTCACCCAGAGACAAGACTGAAAAGGTAGGCTCATCCATTGCAATCATTCGAGGATTCCATCGACACTTCCTGAGCACCTGCTGAGTGCCAGGCTCTCGCCTGGGTACTGGGGATGCCAAGACACAGTCTCTGCCCTCACATAAGCTCATGTTAGCATGTGTTGATAGGCGAACAGGAATCAGTAACACCCACACACAGGTAGGACAGTGTAACCAAGTGTTCCACGGTTAAATGCCAGGGGCCTGTGGGAACATGGAGGGAAATGTACCCTTTTGCCTGGAGACACAGGGAAGAGGCTGCTGGGAGGGGGAGCCACACACAGTTGGGACCCAACTGGGGAGAGCAGGAAAGACGTGGAAGGGGTCACAGCAGTGGGCCTAAGCTGCAGGCTCCTCAACCGAGGGCCACACGGGACAGGGGAGGGCATCCTGTGAAGGGGCGCTTAGTAGGCTCACAGTCCAGCAACCCGGCGGCGCCGGGGTGGCTCAGCCGGTTAGACGTCTGCCTTCGGCTGGGATCATGGTCGCGGGGTCCTGGGGTGGAGTCCAGGAGGGCTCCTTGCTCAGCGGGGAGCCTGCTTCTCCTCTCCTTCTGCCCCTCCCCCAGGCTCATGTTCTCCCCCCACAAATAAATAAAACCTTTTTTTGGTAAAGATTTTATTTATTTATTTGACAGAGAGAGAGAGCGAGCGCACAAGCAGGGGGAGTGGCAGAGGGAGCGGGAGAAGCAGGCTCCCCACTGAGCAGAGAGCCCTGCTGGACTCCACCCCAAGACCCCGGGATCATGACCTGAGCCAAAGGCAGACGCTTAACCAACTGAGCCACCCCGGCGCCCAATAAATAGAATCTTAAAAAAAAAACAAAACTCCAGCCAGAAAGACAGAGGGCCAAGCACTGGGCGGCAGGAACTAGAGGAAGCCAGCTTCCACTTACTGAGCACCTACTATATGCCAGGGACAGCACCCAGTGTTTTCCGCGCACTGGGAGCACCGTGCACAGTACTCACTATCCCCAAAGCACAGGTGGGAAGGCTGAGGGTCTAAAAGGCCACGTCCCTGGATTAGGGTCACAGGGGCCTGGCACATGGGACAGGGCCTGGCAAGGCTGGCATTCGGAGTAGGTCTGACTGTCGCCACGCTCTGCCCATTGGAAACCCTACCACCACCTTCCGCCCCCTCTCGCCCAGACTCTTCCAAAGTCACGTGGAGTCCGCAGAGAAAGACATCAAGGGACCTCCAATCCAGATTGGTGAGCCACTCTGAACCCCACATCTTAAGGGCAGGAAAACTAGGGGCGCCTGTCTGACTCAGTCAGAGGAGCATGCAACCCTTCATCTCAGGATCGTGAGTCCGAGCCCCACGTTGGGTGTAGAGATTACTTAAGTAAGGACAGGAAAACTAAAGCTCAGAAGGGCCAGTGACTCAGCCATGCGGACAGGTGACACGGCGGAGGCCCAGGGACTCGGGCGTCCTGGTCCTCTCCACGGCCCCACCGGCTGCCAGGCCCCAGGAGAGACTGACAACTTCCCAGGGGTCCAAGGCTGATACTTGAAACCTCTTAAATCACCCCAGGCAGTGGCTACAGAGAAAGGACCATTTCCCCTGTCGCTGGGGCTTCAGCCAGGGGGTCCTGTGTGGAACTCCCTCAGACAAGCCTCTAGTTTCCAGAGCCTGGGGGGAGGGAGGGGCCAACACGTAGACGGATAGACACCGGTGACCCTGAGCCTGCCTGGCACAGGGCGCCTGCTTGGTGGCATCAAGGTTGGCCCAGCCCAGGGTGTCCTGGCCAGGGCAATGGTGAGGTGACACCAGGGACAGGGCCTGAGGGCAGGAGGGGGCACGTGGGACACAAGAGGACCCACAGTCCGGACTCAGCACCCGCTGATGGGTCAGACAGGGCAGGCGGGATAGGGTAGCACAGAACAGAATATGGGATCTGGGCTTGAGCAAGACATTCAGGGGCAAGGGGCAGGTAGGGGGCAAAGACAACAGGACTGCAGCAGGAGCGGGGAGGGAAGCAGGCTGAGTCACCTCCTCTCTCTGCCATCCCGGGCACCCGGGCTGCCCTTACTGTCTGCTCAGGGAAGGCTGTGCTGTCTCCACCCCAAAGCTGCAGCCCCAAGGCCGTGCGGGCCCCAGGCAGGCAGCTCGTCCGCCCTGACACGGGCTCCTTGGCCCTTGTCTGTGTCCCTCTGGCCGCCTCAGCAAGACCTTGAGACGGGCTGTAGCAACACTCATGCAGGAATTCAGAGTTGTCCCAGGGGTTCCTTAGGACACAGCAAGACTCACGAGCAGACACAGATTTGGGTTTGGGGAGTGAGGTTCCGAGCGGCCACGCCCCCCCACTCCTGGGCACTGGGTCACCCTAACCCAGCCGTGGAGAGGGGAGAGGAGCAGGACCGTTCACCACTCGGGCTGGGCTCATCCCCTGGGCTGGGGACCTGCAAGGGTGGGTGCTGGCCCCTGAGGGGCGCAGGGAGCTTCACCGAGGGATGCTCTGGGCTCAGCCCTACCCTTGTGCTCTGGCCTGGGGCAGAAGGGGCGAGGTCCCGGCCCACCTTGCATCCCAGGGCTTCTCCTACCCGCTTTGGCCTTCTCTCCTTCACTCCCATTTTAGGTGCTAAGGCCTTGGGGATGGACCTTCCTGTCCAGCCAGCGCTACTCAGCCCCAAAGCCTCACATGGTGTCCCTCACCCTCCCTGTTCTGCTCGGGTGGCAAACTTGGGGTCAGGGGCTGAGCTGGGCTGCAGGGGACATCAGCTGGGACAGGAGACATGGGCTGGGCTGGGGGGTGAAGGACCTGAACTAGGCATGAGGGACACCGGCGGGAAGGGGC